AAGTATAGTCTATATTTGCATATAATATCTATATATATATAAAGCAAAAGACAGATAATGGTGAAACATTCAAAATACCAGAAAATGCCCTTGGTTAATGCAAACATTAAGAGTTGAAATTATTAATTAAATGAGAATAATATGGTAAATTCACACTTTTTCATATTAAAAAAGTTTAAAATTAAAAGAAAAATCAGATAATAGATCCTCTTCTTATGGAACACAACTACCCATTATCTTTTTTAATTCTAAAATAAATTTAATTTTTTTAAAAAAAAGCCTCTCGCAGGCGCGGAAGCGCGTGTAGAGAGGCTAGTAACATATTATTGCTAAGCATATGATCATATAAATACTTCTTTGCAAAATCGACCAATTACTAATTGACTGGAAGTGTCGGCGATTTTAGAAGCTATCGACGCTGTTTTCGGTGACTGTTACCACCGTTTTTGTCGAGTGACATATGGTTCTTCATTCTTTTTCTGTGCTTTAGCTTTTTATGTAAGTGGTTTGGATCAATTTTGGAGTTTTGGGAATTTATCAAAACACCCATATAGGGCCGACGATTTGGCCTTAATTTCATCTAGCTTCGGCAACTTTTTGGCCAAAGTCCAAGATCAAAAGTTGCTCATCTTGTTAGTCTGAAGGAGTTGATATAGGCATTGGCCAGTAGTTTAGAGATTTTCCGTCGCCGTAAAATCATTCAAGCCTGATATTAGAAGAAGATTATTTTAGGGATAATTTTGAACGTGACAAATCAAACTTTATTTGATGAAGAACATAGTTTGAGACCAATTCATCCCAGTGCTCAATATTCAATTTCTCTAAATTTGACAATGCATATGAAATTAGGATGAAATCATTGAACGATTGCTGAAAGCTTGAGTGGCAGTCATGAACTATGATATCTTCTATAGACTCTTCAATTCTATAAGCTACACATTATTCAAACCTTAGTGCTCAGATGTTAAGGGGCTGTTTGGTATTATATTTGAATTTAACTTTTTAAATTTAAAAACAGAATTTGAGTAAAGCCCAAAAAATAGGCTCATTTTTGAAAATCCAAACCCAAAAATAACTCAAAAACACCAAAAAGAAATTTGAAAACAGAAATAGCTGTTTTTTCAGAAATTTTTTCTCCTGGTCGAGCTAAGCTTCAAGCCTCCATGGCAGAAGCTTGAAGCTCTCTTGCTCCTCTCTCCATCTCTCTCTTCGTCCTTCTCTCTGCCTCTCTCTCATCAGTAACTTTTTAGTTCTGGGCATCTGGGGACTGCTCGCGCCGCCTCCTCTCGTCTCTGCGACTCCGTCAGTCGAAGTCTCAACGTCACACACCGTGAGCTGAGTTCCTCTCCATCTCCGATATCTGCAATCGGGTAATTTTTAGTTCTCTTTTTGACCTTGTTACTGAAGATTGGGGATTAATTTTCATTTGAGTTATGTTTTCGATTTGATTTATATGAATTCTTGTGTGTAACCTAAACTAACAGATAAAGGGTTTTGGAATGATACCTCTGTAATTTTTTGATACGTTGCCTTTGTGATGAATATGAAGCCCTAGTGAATCAACAGATAGCAAGACATAACTCTGGTATGTGAAAAAGGGTTTTGGAAATAAAAGAAGAATGCCCATTGGTAATTAAAATATAATCTCTTGATGACATCTCCTTCATTGCTGAATAATTTGATTATAAAAAAAAAAGATAAATAAGAGCTTCAAAAGGCTTTTGAGAAGAATTGCTGTTTGATGAGTTAGGCACATAGCTTTGAAATATTCCCTTTGAAGACTGGTCTCTAGTCTTTTCCAATGTGGCTGGTTTTACTTAATATCATTTCTAGGGTGGGAAAGAGTCTTTTAAGGTTGGCTTTTTAACTTTCTTTTTTACCAACATATGATCCTCACTCTCTATAAGTAGCCCTTCTAAAATGCCTCACTTGCCCATAAATATTGTGGTAGATAACATGATACCTCTTATTTATCTTTTTTAAGGTTGATTTGATTTCCTTTTTTGTTGCCTTCTTTACACTTTGTGATGAGTTTCTTGAACCTTCTTTTTGAACTATCAGTCAAACTAATGCCAGGTACATTTTAACTGCTCTAAACTTTTCTGCATTTTTTAGATGCTCATTCTCCAACCTGGACAGTTGGAACAAATTGTTCATTAGATTGGAGCTATTGAACTTGAAACGAAAAGGGTATATCCAACTTGATCATGTCAATGTCTGTTTCTATATGGCTGCACATGTAGACTGATATAAGAATCCATTGAGATTTGAGTAGTTACCTGTTCCACATCCCTCTTCTGATGACTTTAAGGGCTGCTAAAAACAGCCCAGTTACTCTGTAGTCCACTTGTCCAAAACTTGAATGGAGAGCAGTTTTCAACCAAGCTAGCCTGAGAATAAGGTTCAATCCCTGCATAGCATCCAAAATATTGATCAACACCAGATCTCAAAACTGTCAAGCTGACAAGACCTAAACTGTAACCTAGAAACAAAACACAAAATTTGCTTCTATGATGTGTGCATAGCCTCAACAACATCTAATTCTTTGCTGTCATATTGTCTTCTGTGAAATCTCACTGAAATTTGCTTCTGTAAATATGCCCTAGTTGGATAGGAATTGCTTTCTTTTCAGTATCATTTTGGAAATCTCACTGAAATTAATGAATAATGAGTTTGAATATGAAACTTAGGAATTGGTTTTGTGACAATTTTTAGGGAAGAAGTTCCAATATGTCTCAGATGATATGTGATATGTGGGAGTTAAAATAAATCTAATGTTAATGTCTTTTTTCTTAATTTATTTTGCAGTACCTTGATGAGAACAAATAGTTGATTCTGGCAATATTGGATAATCAAAAACTTGGAAAACTTGCTGAGTGTGCCTAGTAAGTCCTCTCTCTCTTTTATGTGTTTGTATTGTTTCTAATCTTGATTATGAGTCATCTTACGTGGACACTGAAATCTGCCTTTATGAGTATTTTTGTCTTGGATATAAGAGGCAATGATTTTGTAAATTTGTAAATCTGTCTACTTTGGTGTTCTTAGACCTTATTAAGTATCCAATGCTCCTAACTCTTCATACTTGTTGTGTTTGTAACAACCTTTCATTGGTGATGAATTTACTTTTCCATTTTTGGTATAATATTTTGTATAAGTTTCATCTTGATGTTCTTTTAATTTTATGACTATCAGTCTAATGGTTCATTTCTATGTTTTCTGTTTTGGACTTTAGAAAACAATACTCTTGTTTTTGACTCCTAAAAGCATTGTGAACTTTAAACTTGGACTATGGTGGCTTTTGCTGTCTGAATTGGCCTTATGCTTGCCATGTGTTTATTGTGATGTCCGTCTTTTTACTTTGTTTTAGTACATAGTAGAGAGATGTCAAACAAGGACCTTGAAAATGATTTTGATGATAAAGCTTATTGGCCAAAGCCCATTGAAGACCATTTTATTCATCTACTGTATGAAGAGGCAAAAAAAGGCTTGCAAACCAATAATTTAGATAAGACTGAGTGGGCTAGTATAGAAAAGCAGTTGTTTGACAAGTTTGGGAAGAGATACAATCGTGACAAATTGAGGCAGAAATATAACCGATTGCGCAAGATTCACCGGGAGTTTACAAAGCTCATTTCTCATACCGGGATGGGTTGGGACCCAAACACGAACACCGTTCAAGCATCTGAAGAAGTTTGGGCATCCTATCTCAAGGTATGCATCTTCTTGCATAATTTGTCTTGTTTTAGTATCTTACAATAAATGTGCATTTTTTAATTTGTCTTGTATTAATTTTACAGAAAAACAAGTTTGCAAGCCGTTTCCGTAGCAAAGGATGTCCTCACTATGATTTGCTTGGTTTGATTTTCAACTACACCACTGCCACTGGACATATGCAATGCGCATCTACTCATTCTCCTCTAGATTCTGATGATGAAAGAGAGCTAGAAAATGATTTTCCTACCAATGGTGCACGCGTAGGTCTTAATACAGAAAGTGGTTCAAGAGGTTTTAGTGAGGGAGATGAAGGAACTAGCAACAAGAACAAGCGTGCTGCTCTATTCCCCCAGAGTGATCTTCCCTCAAGGTTAAAGTCATCTAAATCAACCAAAATTGATGAAACCATTGAAGCTTGGGCAAAGTCTCTTAATAGCAAGATTGAAATTTCATTGGCAAAGCTTACGCGTAAGAGTGAAAAGGAAGTGGCCTTTCCATATAAAGAATTGGGCTCCATTGAGGATTGTATGGAAATATTGGAGGCCATGGAGGGAGTGAATGATGATGCTTATGTGAAAGCTTTGGATAAGTTTACTAGTTCGGATTGGAGGAGGATGTTTGTGAAGATGTCAGATTCAAGGAGAAGTGTGTGGCTCAAAAGCCTAAAGTGAATGAGATTGTGAATAATTAGTTTTAGAATTTATTTAATTTAGAATATTTTAATTTAGTATGTATTATTTAGGACCTGAACATCAATTGAGCTTAGCGATGATTTATTTTTGGTATTAAAACATGGATGTTAAAATAGTATGTTTAATATAAGTTTAATAATTTTGATTAGTATCTTAATTTTAAAAAACATTATTGTCAAGAATTCAACCAAACAAGTTCTCAAATTTTTAATATTTTGAAACAATTTTCAAGTTGTGATGTTTTTGAATCTTAAAAAATGATTTGAGAATTCTTTGTTTTTAAGAAAGTCAAAAGTTTTGAGTTCCCATTTGAATAGAATACCAAATGCCCGTTAGCTATCAGTTACCTCTTGTTTCAGCAACTTCAATATTTTTAAGTTAGTATTTCGTTTGATAAAGAGACATTCTCACAATAATCCAAATGTGCGAATTGCGAGAATTTGAATCAATCTACAAGTCCAACTTGGATTATTGAATACACAATTCTGCCTTTCATATATTCATGATCAAAAAGAGATAGATGAATACATCTTTTGGGAGGGCATCTTCAATCAGTAATGAATGGTAAAATATAAACCTACAGAAAAAGAAACCAAAAAATAAAAATAAAAATGGAAAAAAGATGCCCTCCCTCAAAAAAGGAAAAAAGAAGAAGAAAAAGAGAGTTCTGTATGACAGTTAACAAAGTGTTACAACGTTTCCTTCTTACTCACCTTCTTGGTATTTTCAGTATCAAAAGATAGAAATTTACCTTCAAACTAACTCCATTAAGAGAGGATCACCTTCTGCCATTGTTCTTATTAGTTTTATGAAATCTTGTTCGCTTGACACATTCCACGGATGAACAGCAGGTACTTTGGCCGAATAAAGGGATGAAGAATTAGTAGAAGGTGGTTGTTCTTCATAGATCATTGTACTGAACACTGAGTCAAAATTCTGAGGTGAATCTATTGCTAGAAAGAACATTGGAATGGCAACCTTGTGATGAATTTCTAGATTTCCAACTAGATTAAAAAGGTCGGTGAAGTCAGCTACAAACCGACGAGGGATGTAGAATACCTCAGAACTACATACCGTGATGCTCTTGCCACTAGTTACAGAGTTCTTGTAACTGACTTGGAAGTGAACTGGCATCATGCTAACAACCTTCCTTACCATGCCTGCTTGCTTTGAAAACCAATCCGAGTTGTCTTTTGTGGAAACAGTAGTCCAAGACTTGGATACCTGAATCAGATTGAAATTGTAAGAGAGAAAGAGACATTACAATAATTTAAATGTCAACCAACCAGCTCTTGAAAAAGAAGGCACTACTATATTATCAATTTTGTATTTTGCTTTCCTTCTAGGTAAAGTCATTCGGAAGGTATCTATGTGTGTTTTAGCAACAATGATAACTAGTTTTAAAATGCCATAGAAACGTTAATGTTAAAGAAATGGGGTATTAGAAGTCATACCTCATTTGTAATCCACAATTTAGTTTTGTCTGCTTGTAGAAGATTCCAGTAATTAAGAATAGTATTGTCCTGAAGGAATAAAAATCCATCTGCACCGGAATATCGATCAAATATTTTGGGCAGGTACCTGCAAAGAAACATTGAAAAGCGCAATTAGAAAACTACTGATGGCCCATCTTAACTAATTCCAACATAGGCTTTCAATCAAAATGCAAGTAAAGCAGTTAGGATTTCACAAACAACCATTGTCTGCCATAATTATGAGCGATAACAATGAATGCCCAAGAAAAATTAAAATTGACAACGCAACCGCCGAAACTTGCTTTTGAAAGAAGCAATCAACAATATTCATATTCCTAGGGCTATGCATAGATTCTGTAGTCTAAAACAGACTTGGGGATTACAGGGCCTGCTTCTGAAGCTGTTCAGTTCACTCATCTCATTTAACATAAATTTCATAAACCTAACTGGCACATAATACATACCACAAGGCACCAACTCACAAAACCGAGAAAAGAAGGAAAACAACAATGCTCTTCTAAAATTAAAATCTTTTCTGACAGTCGCAGGGTATTTTGTATAACCAATACTAAACTTTAAATGCTGTGAGGAACACAATCAGGAAGATGCACGATTAAATTCTTAATTTCTAGAAACAAGCTAGCGAATATTCTAAGGGATCACTAATTGCATATATTTGCCCAGGAAAATAAATAATTGAGGCCTGAGCCTTCAAGAAAGGAACAGAGCTTGGAATGACATCTGCTCCTTGGAGACAAAAACCTCTCCTGCTAGGACTTGAATATGAGAACAGTAGCCCCAAACTTGTATCAAACCTAACTCCTCGATTAATGTTTTTAAATAAAGAAACAAGGTTTCAATTGAATATTATAGCACATCATTCCCTATCTTCTTAACCCTCACGGCTACTCAGAAGGATATAGGAAGTAGAACTAAACAATTTAACAAGATGGCAGAACCAACAAAGTAATTGAATAAAAGAGGTACAGATTCATGAGAAAAGCGACTTACTTGTATACATAATCCAATTTGCCTTCTTCAACAGCAAGGTCAGGGTTCTTTAGCTCTGACAAAATGATCACAGTCTTAAATATCCGCCCGTAGAGCAATCTCCATTCCAGAGCAGTACGTTCCACCGGTCCACTGCAAAACAGGATAAGCACAACATTCCCAAAATTCTTCCTCCATCTAATCAAATTTCCAATTTCATAGTTCACTGTCCCTGTTTCCTCAACTCCAAGATGAACAGATGGAAACTTTTGCGGGATAAACTCTTTTGTATCCCCATGACCAATATTTGCCCGTGGCCGATCCAATTCCAATGACATTAACCTAGGCTGCTGATACCCAACCGCAATCAAGTCCTGAAGCCAGGCAGCCGTAAACTTCAGATCCTTCTCAGTCCAAAACCCCTCTTCTGTCATAGCAAAACTTAACTCCAAAATCTTTTCAAATAGCCTATGCTTACTTGATCTCCATGAAACCAAAAATTTGATCAAACGTCCCACATTGACATGAAGATCTTTCTCTTCAGAAAATGGGTACGCCTGAATTCTATCATACCGATGAACAGTTGGGGGATAAACTACAACAAATCCACCTATTTCCCATAAAAGCCTCTGCCCCCAATATCCCCTCAATACGTCAGAAGCCATTGTGCTAACTGAAACAGGAAGCATCAAACCCCAAAACGCCGATGCATGGTAAATTGTATTGAAAGAATTAACAGGAACCATCGTACCCTGCGGCAACGCCACTTTCGGGGCATGGTCATCAAACCTTATATCAAAGGCTTCCAAACCCGATTTTCGTGTAAAATAAAACACAGAATCGACATCAGGAAGTCCATTCGATATGCCCTGTTGTACAAACTGCTTTCCACCAAAAATCTCAGTGTAGAACTCTTCATGGCCAAGTTCACCAACATTTTCCAATGGCAAACCTCTCGGCCAAACTGAGCGTTGCCCAAAATGAATATATGGGTTCACAATGGTTCTATTAGGATTCTCATGGCTATATTGCAATATAATCTCTTGCCTAGCACCCTCTCCCGTCAATTCTAAATCAAAATGTTTTCCCAAGTCATCATCAATCACCTCTCCGCGATCATCAGCGTCGAAGATCTTCTTCGCGCCATGTTGGATCGCAAACAAGTAACCCACACTCTTCCTAACATACGAATCATATGGCAAATAATCCAAAACTCTAAAACCCAATTGAGCTTGTTGTTCAAGGGACAGAAAGATAGCACCTTTGAGGCTCCAATCCGACGGCGTTTTCGAGTTCCCAATTGCCAAGACCTGCCACCCTTTGAGCTTCACAAGCTTTCTGAGCGAGTCAGTTGGGTAATTAGAGACTGAAACGACTATCCACTTCTCAGATCGGAAACTCGCGTAGGGAGACGACGTGTCGGAGATGGGCTTGATGTTCGATTCGAGCTGCGGCAATCGAATTTTCTCGAGAGCCTGGGCTTGGGTTTCGAAGCAGAGCAAAGCAGCGGTGTCTCCGATGTTTCGAAGCACGAAGAGGACGGCGACTGTGGCTATGAGAAGCACGACGGTGACGATCTTGTACAGATTCTCGGAGACCCATGTGGAGAAATCGAGATTTGGAGCGAAAGAGAGTGAGGCTCTGATCTGAGAAGAGTGAGAGTGCTTCGGTGATTTGGGTCCTGGACGGTCTTGGACCAACATTGAAGAAAATTTCAAAACCCAAATTCCCAAAATCCCAAATTTTTCTGTCTCAGTCTGAAATGCCTTGACTCAGAGTCAGAGCTGATTGTGAGTGATCAGAGGAGCTTCACTGTTGAGCTCCTTCGACAAACGAACATTCGCAGTACTTTTGCACCGTACAAGAAGAAGAAGAAGAAGTTTTGTTATGTGAGCTGCCGACTGCGTGTGATTTGAGCAAGTTGTGAGCTGCTTTGCTTTCTCTCTCAAGTGGTTGCGCTGCCGACAGTTATGGTAAAGAGAGAGTTTTGAACTTGTGATGGTTGGTGTTTCTTTCTTAGATTTCAAGTCTTGAATTATATAACTGCTGCTGCTCTCTTGTTGCAGTCTGGTGGGGTCTCTGTCTTCTTCTTCTTTTTTATTCTTCTTTTTTTTTTATTTCTATGAAATCGATTATGTTCTGTATTCTGTACTTGTTAGTTGGTTCTTCTCGATTTGCCAGTCTGCAATTTTATGGTAGAATTGGACTGATTGAGTCTTTATTACTCTGCCTATTTCATTATTATATGATAATGACGATTTATGCCACTTGACAGTATCATTTGAAGGCAATAATTGTCAGCTCAAAATTTCCATCTATTTATGACAACGTTGTCTCTTCAGAATACCAAAATGATTTAAATCATGCTTTCGAGTAAAGGTAAACTTCAGATCCTTCTCAGTCCAAAACCCCTCTTCTGTCATAGCAAAACTTAACTCCAAAATCTTTTCAAATAGCCTATGCTTACTTGATCTCCATGAAACCAAAAATTTGATCAAACGTCCCACATTGACATGAAGATCTTTCTCTTCAGAAAATGGGTACGCCTGAATTCTATCATACCGATGAACAGTTGGGGGATAAACTACAACAAATCCACCTATTTCCCATAAAAGCCTCTGCCCCCAATATCCCCTCAATACGTCAGAAGCCATTGTGCTAACTGAAACAGGAAGCATCAAACCCCAAAACGCCGATGCATGGTAAATTGTATTGAAAGAATTAACAGGAACCATCGTACCCTGCGGCAACGCCACTTTCGGGGCATGGTCATCAAACCTTATATCAAAGGCTTCCAAACCCGATTTTCGTGTAAAATAAAACACAGAATCGACATCAGGAAGTCCATTCGATATGCCCTGTTGTACAAACTGCTTTCCACCAAAAATCTCAGTGTAGAACTCTTCATGGCCAAGTTCACCAACATTTTCCAATGGCAAACCTCTCGGCCAAACTGAGCGTTGCCCAAAATGAATATATGGGTTCACAATGGTTCTATTAGGATTCTCATGGCTATATTGCAATATAATCTCTTGCCTAGCACCCTCTCCCGTCAATTCTAAATCAAAATGTTTTCCCAAGTCATCATCAATCACCTCTCCGCGATCATCAGCGTCGAAGATCTTCTTCGCGCCATGTTGGATCGCAAACAAGTAACCCACACTCTTCCTAACATACGAATCATATGGCAAATAATCCAAAACTCTAAAACCCAATTGAGCTTGTTGTTCAAGGGACAGAAAGATAGCACCTTTGAGGCTCCAATCCGACGGCGTTTTCGAGTTCCCAATTGCCAAGACCTGCCACCCTTTGAGCTTCACAAGCTTTCTGAGCGAGTCAGTTGGGTAATTAGAGACTGAAACGACTATCCACTTCTCAGATCGGAAACTCGCGTAGGGAGACGACGTGTCGGAGATGGGCTTGATGTTCGATTCGAGCTGCGGCAATCGAATTTTCTCGAGAGCCTGGGCTTGGGTTTCGAAGCAGAGCAAAGCAGCGGTGTCTCCGATGTTTCGAAGCACGAAGAGGACGGCGACTGTGGCTATGAGAAGCACGACGGTGACGATCTTGTACAGATTCTCGGAGACCCATGTGGAGAAATCGAGATTTGGAGCGAAAGAGAGTGAGGCTCTGATCTGAGAAGAGTGAGAGTGCTTCGGTGATTTGGGTCCTGGACGGTCTTGGACCAACATTGAAGAAAATTTCAAAACCCAAATTCCCAAAATCCCAAATTTTTCTGTCTCAGTCTGAAATGCCTTGACTCAGAGTCAGAGCTGATTGTGAGTGATCAGAGGAGCTTCACTGTTGAGCTCCTTCGACAAACGAACATTCGCAGTACTTTTGCACCGTACAAGAAGAAGAAGAAGAAGTTTTGTTATGTGAGCTGCCGACTGCGTGTGATTTGAGCAAGTTGTGAGCTGCTTTGCTTTCTCTCTCAAGTGGTTGCGCTGCCGACAGTTATGGTAAAGAGAGAGTTTTGAACTTGTGATGGTTGGTGTTTCTTTCTTAGATTTCAAGTCTTGAATTATATAACTGCTGCTGCTCTCTTGTTGCAGTCTGGTGGGGTCTCTGTCTTCTTCTTCTTTTTTATTCTTCTTTTTTTTTTATTTCTATGAAATCGATTATGTTCTGTATTCTGTACTTGTTAGTTGGTTCTTCTCGATTTGCCAGTCTGCAATTTTATGGTAGAATTGGACTGATTGAGTCTTTATTACTCTGCCTATTTCATTATTATATGATAATGACGATTTATGCCACTTGACAGTATCATTTGAAGGCAATAATTGTCAGCTCAAAATTTCCATCTATTTATGACAACGTTGTCTCTTCAGAATACCAAAATGATTTAAATCATGCTTTCGAGTAAAGGTCGGAATATTGTACACGGTCATTAATACGAAACAAATTCGAAAAAAAATTCAATATTTAGGTCGGTTTTATTGGGTCGTATTGAAAATGGATGGATTCGTTAGCTAATGGTTAAACAGATCATTTAAGTTAAAACGGGTCATGTTGTGTGATTCGTTATTTTAAAGGGTTGTATTCGTGTGTGATAGTTTCCACCGTTAACTTAACGGGTCGTGTATGTGTCGGCTGAACACAAACACCACAAAACACAACGCATTTGTCAGGTATACTTTCGAATCTCCCATCTTTTGTTAATAAAATAACATTTACTTAACATGAATGGCTCTAGGCCTAGAACAACCCAAGAGATCATCTAAGATCGAATACATAATTGTTGGGGAGAGCAAAATCAAACCAATTACACCATAGATCTAAAGTAAAGCTAATATTCGCCTAGACTTCAAAATTGGGTCGGCTCAGCCCTAAAATTTGAGCTTAGAACAAACACAATGCAAAAGAATGAACATAGTTTTTTTTTCCTCCTCAAATCTTCATAGACAACAATTTGATGCTCCATTGATCAAGAAAAACACAATGCATATTAGTTAGTGTTTGGATAATGAGAGAAGGTAATGAGTGTTGGTTTGTAGTGATTTAGAAGTTTGGGAGTAGGCTTGATTTTCGGACCAAACGGATTGGAATCGCAATGTGGAGTAGTATTTGGACTTTTTTTTTTTGGTCAGAAAGGCAATTCATTGCAAACCCACAAAGGGGCAAGGAACACTGGGAACAGTACACAAGCAGGATCAGATCTAACTAAAACCCAAGCATAGGCCTAGCATGAAGATCATGATCCCGACCGAAAGGAAATTAAACGGCCATAAGGCCAGCATTAAAACGAAACCCACACCTAACATGTGGTAGCAACATCAAGCTGAAACAAGAAAAATTACATAAACTACAGATCCGCATCACAGATCTACCACAAAAGCCAGCGACTCTCAGATTAGTCCAAAGGCACAGGAATAGTAACCAAGTAACAGGAAGGTGGTGGTGCAAGCACCAGAGTCGGCACGAAGTCGTGGCTCTACACACCTTCCAAAGGGGACGCGAGAGATCGCGTTTTGGGTTGGCCGTTGTAACCGGGTGATGAAATCGGTTCGAAAGGGAAGTGGGGGGATCTGGGTTTTGACCAGCAACAACCCAAGAAATCGCATCTTCACCGGAATCGTAGACACCGACGCACCAAGGGGAAACCAGCAAAGGAAGTGACGACGGCCAAAGGACAGCTCTGAGAAAGTTGGAACGGTGGAGATGTGAGGGATCTGAGCAGATAAGAGGCATAAAGCCTTCGATACAAGCAGAGTATGCTCGAACGACGTCACTGGCTCTCTTCCAAGGAGAGAGCATCGGGACCAGCAAAATGGGGGCACCAAGTGCGCGAGAGAAGACCTCGATAGACCAGCAAATCACAACAGGGGGTGAGGGGGGAGGGTAAAGCCCCTCCTCCCCCTCACAAGGAGGTGTCGGCGCTGGCTAAGAGAATAGGAAAATCGCCAAAGCAGAGAGAGCGGCGCTAAAGTTTTAATGGAGTTGAACTTCATTAAATCATGTTTAGTTCAATATGAACTTGGTCATTGCGTGTAGTCTTACCACGAAACCCCAATATATTTCGAAATGCGGAATTTTCGGAATCTTGAGATACATTCTAATTCCAATCCAACTCTTTTTCGGAATTTTCGAATTTCGGAACTTTCGAATGTCAAAATTGATTTGAACTTGCCAAAATCAGAAATTTCTGAATTATAATTTTCAATCCAACTTTCAATCATATTTGGGAGTGCGAGAAGATGATGAGTCTAAGGTAGAAATGTAAAGAGAGAACTTTTCAATGTCTATAGTACCACCTTGGACTGATTGAGTCTTTATTACTCTGCCTATTTCATTATTATATGATAATGACGATTTGTGCCACTTGACAGTATCATTTGAAGGCAATAATTGTAAGCTCAAAATTTCCATCTATTTATGACAACCTTGTCTCTTCAGAATACCAAAATGAACCTAATTTTTAAATCATGCTTTCGAATAAAGGTCGGAATATGGTACACGGTCCCAATTTTCGAATGTTAGAATTGATTTGAACTTGCCAAAATCAGAAATTTCTGAATTATAATTTTCAATCCAACTTTCACTCGTATTTGGGAGCGAGAGAAGATGATGAGTCTAAGGTAGAAATGTAAAGAGAGAACTTTTCAATGTCTGTAGTACCACCCATTTTCTTGGCCCCAAAATCCACTTTTGAATATCTCAAACCTCCTATTGGTATGCAACAAACTTGTAGCTCAAGAGGTTAAGAAAATTCACCTCTCCCCGAAGTGATACATTCGATTCCTCCCAAGTTTCGCTTCTATAACCGTCTATGAGGGTCTCATGCATTAGCAGCGCAAAAGTCCAGAGCCCAGTTTACATTTATATGAGCCCAATGAATCGATAGCCCAATAAACAGTGGAATTAGCCAGCTGGCCCACTACCCAACGCAGCACCCGCCATTCCACGTGACCACAGCGGGTTTAAAGAAGCTATAACTAAAAATTAAAAAAGTAATAAGGATATAAAAATGAAAACGGTTTAGAGAGAGAGATTTTCAAATAATAGCCAAGGAACCGCCAGTTTTCGAAAACTCAGAGAGAGAGAGAGAGAGAGAGAGTAATGGCTCCGTTTCCATCTCCACTCGAACGCTTTGTTGCTTCGGCTTTGCTCGTCCTGGCCACCACCCCTCCGAAGTAAACCAAAACTTCAATTTCAATTTGCATTTGCGTTTCAATCGCTTCGATCGTTCTTCAATCTTCTGACGCATTTTTGCTTGCAGGCTCTGTTTGGACGACGATCGCGAGTTGGTGAGGGAGCGAAGCAAGATCGAGAATTGCAGAGAGAGCTCGGTTTCTGGGGATTCCAATAAGTCGTTCTCGTCGTTGATCACCACATGCGAGGTTTCTACGGAGGAGATTCGAGCTCGTAAGATCAGAATCGTGGCGCTTGCTGCTCTTCGTCGTGGGATGAAGCTCAAGGTGATCGAGCTTCTCTCTCTCTCTGTTTTTCATCTATTTTTAAATCTTGCTTGCTGTTTGGTTGATTTTTACAACTCTGAATTCGAACTGTGAATTTTGAGTTCGCTTCGTCCCTTTAATCGTTTTCCAAACGGAAGATCGAGCGATGATTTTTCTCTTATTATTTTGCTTTAATCTGTTCGCTTATTGTTATTAGTGAAATATTTGCTTTTCTTCAGTTTTTCTCTTCGTCATGTGATGAAGATGAAGCTCAATCGGAGCTTCTCCCTCTGTTTTTCTTCCTTTTTCTCTTTGTATTTAAGCTCTGTTTGGCTGAAATTTCTGCATAATCCGATTGAATCTTTTACAAGCTCAGAAGCAATTTGATTGATTAATCTGGTCTGGTCCTTAACTTTTCTGTTTGGCTGAATTTATATCTTATATATCTGAATCCGAACTGTGCTTTTAATTTCCTTTTGTTACTTTAATCCTTTCCCGAAACAAAGTTCAAGCTGATATGTAATTAAGCTGAATCTGAGCTTCTCTCTCTCTGTTTCTTTTCGATTTTTGGCATTCTCACTTGCTGTTTGGCTGAGTTTGTACGATTTTCATGGAAGTTTCGGTTCATTTTTGTTGCTTTAATGTGCTTTCCAATATTAATCTAAACTAAAGCTTATAAGATCCTTCCTTCTACAATTTTTGCTTTCCAAATCGGTGGTTGAGCGATTCGATTTCATCGATCCGATTCAATTATGAGCATTTTCTTGTTCTTCAAGTAATAATTTGAATTTTCTCTGAATTAGAGTGTGCGGAGAAGTCGCTCCAAGACGCAAACAAGCTGGAAGACCGTCTCTGGATCGTCGGCGACGGCGTCGTTCCGATCTGAGACCACCGCGGAGTCTTCGTGCGTGTCCACCAGCTCCAGTGCGGCTTCAAGCGCGCGAAGCCAAAGCCGAAGCCGACACGCGTCATGGGCCTGGAATTATCGTGGTGCCAGTAAGCTTTCAATGGTGAGGGAGGAGCCGAGGAAGAGGAAGCGGCTGAGCTTCTCGACTCACATGCGCCGCAAAGCCGAAGCAATTCTGAAGCTCTTGTCCGGTGGCTGCTGCTTCTCTGAAGTTAAGATTCGTCAGACCATCGGTGACAGTCCTGACACTAGCAAAGCACTCAGAATGTTAGCGCGCTCTCTCTCTCTCTCTCTCTCTTGATTTGACACGTGGCCCTTGGTTGTGTGTTATGCACGAGAAATTAGTGTGATAAGAACGTCTTAACCGTCGCATCTGAACTGTGGAAGATCATAGATGAGGATCCGACGGTTGAAATGCATCCAACCATAATGTTCTGTTATGTTTTAGTCTCTCTCTCTCTCTCTCTCTCTGTGTTTCTCATCGATTTTTAAATTTTGCTTGCTGTTTGGTTGATTTTCACAACTCTGAATTCAAACTGTGAATTTTGAGTTCGCTTCGTAGCTTTAATCGTTTTCCAAACGGACGATCGAGCTGAGAAGATGATTTTTCTCTTATTATTTTGCTTTAATCTGTTCGCTTCTTAGTGAAATATTTGTTTTTCTTCAGTTTTTCTCTTCGTCGTGTGATGAAGAAGATGAAGCTTAATTGGAGCTTCTCTCTCTGTTTTTCTTCCTTTTTCTCTGTGCATTCTAAGCTCTGTTTGGCTGAAATTTCTGCATAATCCGATGGAATCATTTACAAGCTCAGAATCAATTTGCTTGATTAATCTGGTTCTTTACTTTTCTGTTTGGCTGAATTTATATCTTATATATCTGAATCCGAACTGTGTTTTTAAATTCGTTTTGTTACTTTAATCGTTTCCCGAAACAAAGTTCAAGCTGATATGTAATTAAGCTGAATCTGAGCTTCTCTCTCTCTCTCTCTCTCTCTCTCTCTCTCTCTCTCTCTCTCTCTATTTCTCTTCGATTTTTGGCATTCTCACTTTGCTGTTTGGCTGAGCTTGTACGATTTTCGTGGAAGTTTCGGTTCATTTTTGTTGCTTTAATGTGCTTTCCAATATTAATCTAAACTAAAGCTTATAAGATCCTTCTTTCTAAAAAATTTTGCTTTCCAAATCAGTGGTTGAGCGATTCGATTTCATCGATCCGATTCAATTATGAGCATTTTCTTCTTCTTCAAATAATAATTTGAATTTTCTCTGAATTAGGGTGTGCGGAGAAGTCGCTCCAAGACGCAAACAAGCTGGAAGACCGTCTCTGGATCGTCGGGGACGGCGTCGTTCCGATCTGAGACCACCGCGGAGTCTTCGTGCGTGTCCACCAGCTCCAGTGCGGCTTCAAGCGCGCGAAGCCAAAGCCGAAGCCGACTCGCGTCATGGGCCTGGAATTATCGTGGTGCCAGTAAGCTTTCAATGGTGAGGGAGGAGCCGAGGAAGAGGAAGCGGCTGAGCTTCTCGACTCACATGCGCCGCAAAGCCGAAGCAATTCTGAAGCTCTTGTCCGGTGGGTGCTGCTTCTCTGAAGTTAAGATTCGTCAGACCATCGGTGACAGTCCTGACACTAGCAAAGCACTCAGAATGTTAGCTCTCTCTCCCTCTCTCTCTCTCTCGATTTGACACGTGGCACTTGGTTGTGTGTTATCCACGAGAAATTAGTGTGATGAGATCGTCTTAACCGTCGGATCTGAACTGTGGAAGATCAGAGATGAGGATCTGACGGTTGAAATGCATCCAACCATAATGTTCTGTTATGTTTTAGTTAATTTTTAGAACAAAACCCTTTGCCTTACGTGGCAAGAATGTTCTGACGTGGTGAGATGTAAACGGGTATTGTGTGTTTCTGTGCGTGCAGGTTGTTGAAGCTTGAGAAGGTCAAAAGGTCAGGCATTGGAGGCCGTTACAACCCTTATATTTACACGGTATATAATATAAATAAATAAATAAATATATATATATAACTATCTATGCTTGTGTGATCATATTCTTTAGATTAATACTTGTTTTTTTTTAAAATCTTTATTAAACAAACTTTTGCTTCTTCTTGACTCGCAGATAGCGTGAGAAGAGGTAAGCTAAAGGGAACCCGATTAAGCATGGCATGGGTCATCTTTACGACCCGTTTTAGCTATCTTGGATCCACTCCCTTGGTTGGGTTGGGGAAATTTTGTTATGATGGGTAGCTAAAAATTGGGATATATATACCAAAACATATATAAATATATATATGGTCTATATAATATAGAATTAATATGGAATGATATGATATTATAATTTGTAAGTGTGAATTGTATGGCATGCAGTTAATAATTACACGTATTCTTCAGTACTGTTTAGCAGCATGCAGCACTAACCAGAATTAGTTAGTTATAGCAATTACCAATGGAATGTTCTTTAGGAAAGTATAAAAGGTAACCCTGGCAATTTGTGAATTACCTACAATGGCTCTTGGCTCAATTTCCAATTTGGGCAAAAGATTTTTTTCTTCCAAGACTATGTCAAATTAGAAAGAAAAGATTTATGACATGGATGGCTTATAAACCAAAAGTACTAAACCTGTTATAATCCAATTTGGTGCAAAGATTAACAAAAAAATACACACATACAATTGATTTTTCATAAACCAAAAACTGTTTCCAAACGCACTAATAAAACTAACATTCTTGACCATAATTTGTAACAAAGCAATCGTGATATGAGAAATAACTATTGGAAATTCATTTTATGTTCACATTGAAAAGTTAAGGGACCTAGCATGGGTTTATAAGGAGTGAGTGAGGGTCTTATCTAAGGCATCATGATGCACTGCTAATCGTATTCGAATACAATTTTGCTAGCATCAGTTACGTAGGGACGCGTTGTGATGAAGATCAATATATGACTAAAGAAATTATCTTATTCCACCAAGTCACATAACGAGAGATACAATATTTATTCCAATTGATGGTGTTACATCACATGCCGACACGGGAACAACTCTAGCATCAGACTATTCCAATACCATCCATACATGGGCGGAACTAGCAACAAGGCTACCATGGGCTCTAGCCCAGGTAGCCTTTAAAAAATATTTTAAAATATTATATGTATTTTTATGTGATTTCACTCTATAAAAGATTAGTAGTCCACCCAAATGTAGCCTAATAACCCCTTGTCCACTCAACCTATAGGCCTACAATCATCTTATATTTAATTTGTTTGCTCAGTTAAGAGCACCTCCAATGGAGATGTCAAATAATATGTATAAAAATTGGATTTGATGGCTAATAACTTTAGTCAAAGGAGTTATGAACTAGCGAATTGAACCCGAGTGCACTTGGGGGAGAGAGGGAGAGTTTGATCCACTTTTCTATTGTGGTGTCACCCTATGTGCGTGGTTTATAGAAATTGTAAGTATAAAAATAAAATAAAAAGAGCATTAGATTTTAAGCTAATAATTTTAGCTAGCCCACCTGTTAAAAAATTCCTGGTTCCGCCCTTGCATATGGCTAACCTGAACTATAGCCCAGGTGACTTTTTCTTTTTCTGCCTAACATAACATTCCCAGCCCACCACATGCTTGGTGAAATGCTCCACTCCAGTGAAGGTTTGTAGAGGTGTAAGCCTTAGATGCATTTTGTAGGAAAAAGATGAGAACACGCCACCTATTTGACTTTCAATTTAAAAGTTTTGTTGTTTGTTTGTTTGTTTTTTCAATGAAACACTAAGTTTGGTAAGAGGGATATTTAATACACACGGTATCATTTTGATTAAATTTATGAAACCCGATGGCAGTCTAGTTGCTACGCTCTTATGCGACAAGTGGGTAATTGTGTGATTAACGACAACTACATGGAGAAAAACAGGGTGGCTAACTGTTTAGTGAAATGGAGCTATAATTTTGATTTGGGATTTGTTGTACTTGATAAGATTCCTAGCTGGGTTGAGGCTACCTTTGATGATGATTTATTAAGAGTTCCTAAAACTCGTACTATCTCTGTCATTTAATTTTTATGTGTTTAAGAGTTAATCCCCCATTTCACCAAAAAAAAAAATTATGAAACCCAACCCAGTCAACCCTTTCGTTCTTATTAATTAATTTCCTTCTCACTACAAACCCAAGTTCCATGAAGCAATAGCTACACACCTTTACCAAGCTTCTAGCTTGTAATAAGCTCCCTATTCTAAAATCCTGAATCTGTTGACTGGGAATAAATAAGTTCCAGGACCTTTCGCTTGGCTTAAGCGACAATTGACATTAGCATAAAGTGGCTCTGGCATTAAGATTGGTCCTAAATTCGAGTCTTCTTGTTAAATAAAACAAAACAAAAAACCATAACGACTAGAATGCGAATATTCAACGCGTAGCTGCAAAGACTGACGCAGTACTCCTTGGACTACATTGCAACCACAAAAAAAATTAAAAAAATAACATTCAAGAATGAGTCAAATCATGGCCTACAAAAGAATGCTTGCTGTACAGGGCTTGTATTATGGTATATTTTCATTTCAGTCATTCAATTCCCCTTGTATTTGAATTTGGCCTAAACTACTGAACCATACTCTTCTTATTTCTTGTCATCACATACAAATTAATTACAATAAAAAAAGACCTCAATTATTTAATGTCTAAAAACTTGCATGTGGAGCTTGTGAGTCTGAGCCCATATTAATAAAAAATAAACAAAATAAACAAAATAAACAAAAAAAAGAGAGCTTTCTAACCGGTGAATGTTGATGACAACTTTTTATTTTATTTTATTATTAAACCAAGGTTCATGGTGAAGGGTACATCTAAACTAGGTTCAATTACCTCTTAATACGTACCAAAGACCAGAAACTAAAATAAGCCAAAATCCTCAAACTAAATACACTCGGAATATGAGCTCACCAACAATATTATCAACAGATACACAAAAAATGAAATCTAAAAAGAACGCTACATGTGTCTTATGTGTCTTTTCCATCTTAGGGAAAAGGAATACAAAGAAAGTTACAAAGGTAGGAGTATTGGATTGGGGTGCTATCAATAGGACCATTAGTGAGGATCATACTCATAATAATAGTTCATTACGAAGAAATGCTTCCATGCAAAAAAAAAAACAGAAAACAAAAACATACTGTTTATTTTAAAATTTTGTGAAAATAGTAGAATTTGATTTCCTACCCCACAATTGTTGGTTGTTGAATGAGTTTGTTTTAAATTTTTAAAATATGGCACTCACTTGACCACTTGTCTTAAAGAATGAGTAAAATGTGCAATAAAAAAAGAATGAGTAAAACGATCCTTGAAGCTTTGGGTATAAAGAGAAAAAAATGAAAAACAAAAGGGTACAACAATAATTTCATAGAAAAGATAGGCCCTTAAATGTAAAAACCATAATAAATAGAGGGACCAACCAAGAACATAGGCAAGGCTATAAAAAGGACCAAGTGTCCCTTCCTTCCTCACAAGAAGCAAAATTCAATTTCTCAGCTTTGTATTGGGCTCTCTGATCTCTCTCCTTCCCTCCCTCTCTCTCTCTCTTTTGGGAAGAACAGAAAGCAACAGAGAGCAACATAAAGATTGAGAGAGAAATACAAAAATATATATAAAATGGGAAAGTGGGTGGAATTACTAGATACAGGGGTGAGAATAGCAGCAAGATTTCATTCTCACTGCCCACAAACTGGACGCTTGTATTACCATCCTCCATCTGGTTCTGAAGATCAACATCATCATCACTACTTTGACCAAGCCCAGAAGCCCACCAATGGCAGCCATGCTCAATTTGATGGCATCTTCACCAGTTGTGGTGTCAAGGCAGCAGCTATGGAGGGCAACACCAATGAGGCTTTTTTGTATTCTGTTTTGTGAGAAAGGAAGGAAATTACCTTAATTTGTGTTCCACATATAATGGAGATTTTTTATTATTATTTTTCCAATTGATTCTTAATATTTTATTTTAGGTGTGGATATCATTCCACAAATTTATAATCTTCTCATAGAATTTAGACTTGAATTGAATCCATCTAGGATTTGTGTTGAAAAGAATTCTTTTAATGGTAATTGGCTTCTCATCATCACTTGATTCTTGGTTATTTATAAAAGGATTTTTTTTTCTTCTATGACTTAGGTTTTATTTCTTTAAAAGGAGGGGATGATATGAGTTGAATTCTTGCTTGGAGAATATAATGCTCTACCTCTAGAGCTTAAAATATAATCTATGCCTTAACGTCATTTTGACAAAATAAATACGCTGGGATTTCCAACATTTGCAACGATAAATATCACTAAACCAAGAACTAGTTAATACAGATATCACTCAACATTTATGTTTACACCTTGTATTTGTTTCTATTTCTAACAAATGGAAAACTAGTTTCTGTATTAAGAAAAAGAAATGTAAACTTATATATAATCACAAAATTTAGAATAAAAAGAAAATTCATTTACAACTTAATTGTTCTACCCAAATACCAAGGGCAAGAACATCACTTGACTAATCTTAATATATGATCAGTCTGTTGCCAACAATTTTAAACAAAAATCCCATGCCATGTTATTTATTTCAGCCTCTTCTTTCAATTGATTTATTTGGAACCATTTTTCTTTATATAGGCTATACCTTCACGATGGATTTATAAATTGTTTTAATTTTAAAATGCTTCGTAGTTAATTACATAGATTACAATGTATAGTATATGACAAACAAGTTGACCGAAATGCCTCAGAGCTGAAACCAAACCCAAAGGCTCTAAATCTCTTATTAAAATTATTTCATCAATAGACAGAATACAAAAGAGAAGTTCTCAATTCGACTACTTGCAATAGAATTATTGATAATTCATTGGTAGCTCGAAATAGAATACACAAATAAAACATTGTTTTGACAAGGACAATATATTGCACAGATAGAATTCAAGATAGCGCCCTGTGAAAAATAACATTTGATCTCATAGACTTGCTTTGCCAATGAACTTTCTTGGTGCCATTTGTTGCCGAATCTGCTGTCTGCAACCTTTGGTATTCTTCTACAGAGTTGTCCAAGTTGAAATCAAGAAATTCCATTTGCAATCCAGATATCATACTCTGAATTCTCTACAACTTCACATGATTTCCCTTGAATGAACCATAAAGAGGTTGTGACCTTCTGAAGCTGAATATATCGTCGATTTTGACGGAGGAAGCTTGCGCCGGTGAACTTTTGTCAATTTTATACTCAGATGAATGTGAGTTCCCATACACTCGCACACTTAATGTCCGCTTATGAGGTGCCCCAACTTTTATATGCTCATTGAAAAAATCTATCAGCTCTTGTTGTGTAAGCTGCCTCAGTGCTGCAATCTGTTTCAACCCCATCATTAATAGAGCACGCATTTTCTTTTAAGTATATTCCAACAGTTCTTTTGTATTTTTACAATTATCAGCTTTAACATTACCTTTTTCTGCTAACAAGTTTGTAATATAACTTTACGAAATATTTTCATCTACATAGAACTATTGGACTTAAGATGACATGCCCTGATAAGGACATTTTTCTTCAGGTTCTTTCCAAATTCATTTGTACTCAAAAAGATAAAAAGTATTGAACACTTTGCATTGCAGACATGCAAATAAAGTTAAAGTGATGTTCATACCTCAGATTCTATCCTGTCAAACTTGAGGGTCCCATCAGAAATCTCCCTCCAATAAAATGATGCTTCTTCCCTTAAGTTCTTGTGCTTCTCAAGCTTCATGTCGATCAACGCATTTACATTGCTCTATGTAACAATCAGTTCAAAAGTTATTATTGGGAAAAAGAGTTGATCCTTTCAAGACTCGTAAACACTCATCGAAGTTTTACGACTATTCTCAAAATCATATATGACATGTCACATTGCAGATCGTACAATCTCCCCTTATATATATATATATATAGGTTAACATATAACTTTATCTAGAAGTCAAGAACACTGACATTGAAACACATCTACCATCCATACACGAGGATACAAAACATCGCAAGAAAGACCAATGGAAGGCGAAAGAAAATACTGGTGGATATTTTGAGGATGTGCAATGTTTTCTTTGCAGGAAAAATCAATGAAAAGGGGTTTCATGCAAACAATCTAAAACATCAGGGGGTGTTCGTGTAATTTCCCAAACCTGAGGGGGTGAAAAAGCTAAAACCTGAGGGGGTGTTAGTGTAAATAACTCCAATAAAATTTATATAGAAGTGATTGAACATTAGCACTGAAAGACTACCATCTATATGTGAGGATGATAAACAAGAAAGACTAATGCAAGGTCACTGAAAGTTTTAACTCTGATGATTTTCCATACAAAAGAGATTATAGAAGCATAAAAGACGTAGTCAACCCTAGCAAGCTGGAATTAAGGATAGAGCCTAGTTGATCTCACCTTGAATTCTTCATTTGTCATCTCATAAAGTTTACTCTCGAACACCTTGAGGAATTCCTCTGCTCTCAAATCAATATTTGCTGGATCCTGTAGATCAACATAACATAATTAGAATATGTAGATAATGCAACAAGGCAACAGTAGAAGCATGTAATATACCTTCACTGTGGATTGTATAATAAACTGTGCCCCACGGATACCACAATCATTCCTGCATCAGAAAATAATGGGAAGGTAATTGAGAAAAAAAATCACAACATGAGGCATGAAATTGAGGGATAAGTCATTTGAATTTGTTTCATGCCTCTGCAAGAGGGCGGTGATGTAACCAAGCTGCTCAACCGTTCTAAGCTGGTGGAAGGCAGGTTGCTTTGCAATAAGAGCAAACAGCTGAAGTTTCACATTCAGCATAAAATCATCCCGATGTACCTAAACATATTAACACAACTACGTTTAAAACAAACACAGAAACCTCTGCTGCAAATAAATGAGTGGGAGATTGGTGTGAGGTGATTTTATGCTGTTCAACAGGAAGGCCAAATATAAGTCTTATAACCAAGAGAAACATGGCCTATAAGAAGGGGATTCAGTTAACCAAAGGATCGTGGATAATCTTTGTTGTCAGAATGTCCCATTTGCAGGTAACCTGATAGAATAAAACCCTGAAAGTTCATTTCAGTGATCATACTACAGATCTGTCAAAGGTAAATACAGCTCCAATACCTTTTCAAATTTCAAGAAAGACATTTTCTGCAATTTTTTGATGAGTTAACAGAGAAGAAATTATTGGTTCGAAACACTTCAGGGGGGGATCTGACAAGGTTTGGTGAATTTTGAACTAGACCATACAGAATGAAAACTAGAAGCAATAATTATTGATTCCAGCAAGGTCATACAGACACTAAACTATCCCAATAGAATCTAGTTGATTAATACTGTAAACAAATTTAAAAACCTGGATATAGTGGATAAGGGCAGAATTTTCGTCACTTGGATTGAGACCCTCCACAGGGTAGAAATAGCTCTTGCCCTTTTCAAGCTTCAAAACTCTATTCGTCAAATGCTGGGATGGGAACAAAGGTTGGCAAATAGGGTTTGAGCCCCTAAAGAGAGCATCTTCAATATGCTGGATCATGGACTCAGCTTCATTCCTTTCAAGGTTTCCTGCAAAAGCATATAACTAGGAATGAATACGAATAGAAAAGGAAAATTAAAATGAAAATAACAGTGGGTATAACCTAAGTTGTTTGAGGTAAGAAAATATGGTAACCTGCTGTGTAACACTCTAAAAAGGCCCTTGAGAGCATCATGGGAACAAACTTAGCAAGATCTTCAACTTCAAGATGAGGAAGAACATCAAGTTCTTCCATCCATGGCCAAGTATGATCCTGTAGAATTAATGAGCAGTAGTACATAGCCTGCTCATAAGGCTGCTGAAATTTGTAATTTTGGTACTCCTTTGTGACCATTTCCTGATATGGCCAAAAGGGCAGATAACACAAGTAAGATATCATTCAAGATATACACCACTCTAGATATAAGATTGACTTCCCAAATTTCATAAGCTAAAATACATTGACCCTTTTTCCTTCCCAAAAATAAGATACTTTAAAAATTACCATAAGGATAAAGGTGTTCAGCAAAGGGGCAACAAAATAAAGAAGCTATAAAAATAAAGTCCCAGAGTAACAGAAACAGGTTGAAAGGAAGAAGAAAATGCTCGTGACGAAGACAGATAATTGATAAAATAAAAAATTAGGTATTTCTTTGGAGAAAATTAATGATAAAAAATGATGATGACAATGAAATCTAGGAAAGTCCTTTGATTCTAAAGATGGTTAGCATCTTTAACTGGGGCATGGACCAGTCAGAACTTTCACAATATGTGTGTAATTGAATACTTTTTATGTTGAGCCAGCATCAAATTGAATATTTCATATAGAAGAAGAAACAAGATTACTTGATCACCAACCCAAAACCAAATGGCCAAGGGTGCATAGGCCTAGAACATTATATATTGTAAAGCAAGGCTTTACATTCCCCATGTGGGATATACTCTGAACACGACCCCTCATGTGTAGCATGACTTGAGCAAAGACATGGACAACTTATATTGGGTGACGTGAAAGCACGTATGACCGTTGGGCCTAACACGTTGGTTGCCTTCTTCGATAACATGATAGAATTAAAGCATCCGGTCAAAACCAATTGGCCATTAATGGAGAGGACCAGGATATTAGGGCCCATCTGGTAACGTTTTCAGAGAATGAAAACAAGAAAACGAATTTGCATTTTCAGGAAATGAAAATGCGTCTGGTAGATTAATTAGAAAACATAATAGAATTAAAGCATCCGGTCAAAACCAATTGGCCATTAATGGAGAGGACCAGGATATTAGGGCCCATCTGGTAACGTTTTCGGAGAATGTTTTCTGAGAATATTTTCAGAGAATGAAAACAAGAAAACGAATTTGCATTTTCAGGAAATGAAAATGCGTCTGGTAGATTAATTAGAAAACATATACAGAAAACAAAAACAATGAAAACGTGTCTGGTAGTACAATTTGAAATAATAATATGTGAGTTATTTGTATGAAAACGTTTTCCACGAGAATGAAAACAACTTTTTTCTGTTTTCTACAAGTACACATGAACTTGTTTTCATTTTATGAAAACATTCTCAGTGTTTTCTGTTGTTGGGCCACCAAACGTGTTTTTGCCTCATTTTTGTTCTCTGAAAATGAAAACAACCTCTTAAAATGTTACCGAACGGGCCCTTATACGTCGTAAGACAAGACTTCATATTCTATTTTTTTTAACAGGACAAGACTTTATATTCTTGATGTGAGACCAACAAAGAATGTCTGTTATGCCAAAACTAGAAAATCCCATGCATGGAAAAATCTAATCCCAGTTTGAGAGAGCACGAGAAGAATCGTGGAGATCCTAAAATACTTAAATAAGGAGAATGTCCCAAAATGTTACGTTTATTTAAAAGAAACGAAAGAAATGTAACAGAATATAGGCAGATATGATTCAGTATCTTTTCAAAATTCTTATTAGCGCTGCATAACATAAGATATGCAAAATTATTAATCCAGTTACTGTACCACTAGTGATAGAGCTTATCAAAATCCTCATCCATAAAAATGACTAGGAGCATTTAAAGTCAATATTTTTATGCAGGAGCCTTGAAGTTTACCTTTATAACAGAGAACCTGTCAGCTTTCACTTCAAAGCTTGTGATCTTTTCAACTATAGTCTCCAGTAAAATCCTTAATTTGTGATTATAGCCAACCAGAATCACCTGCACAAGAAAACATAAGGTAAAATCCATGGATAGTTATGATCAATAAAAGGTACAACCAAATTTGGAATAATGCCACGCCTCAAGATCTTCTAACTAAACATAGTTAAGTTCACTGTTTCTAACCCCCTTAAAAACATTATAATACCAACTGGATGAGTTACAGACACTTCCTAATCAAGACCATATCCCCAGGACAATAACAATCAAGAATTTCTTGATTTGGAATTCAAAGGTCCACAATGGGTGTCCAAAAAGTGATCCAAGGACCATTACTACACTCAGTATTCAAAGCCTTCATGTTTCATATTTCACGCTATACTGAAATACCATTTACCCTATGTAGACCACCTTTATTATTATTATTTTTGAGTTTGCTACATAAGGTATTATGAAATGAAAATGCAACTTTGAGAGAATAAATCGATTCAAGGAGTAGCTGAGACAACACAGACTAAAATTTTACAGAAACACAACAAAAATTAAAAAAGAACCATCTAGCAAGTTTCATATTGATACCTGAAATCCACACTCTGTGGCGCTTATTCCATAATTCAGTCCAGCAACCTCAGCATAGTAAGCTGACAAAGAAAGAATTAAATATTTGAATAAGCTATTCAAGAAAATAACATGTTGTGTATGCAACACCACCAATGAAACCAAGTAATTAACTGTAACTACATATCTTACCAAATTCATTCAAGTAATCCATCAACAACTGAGTAAAGATATTAGTTAAGACTTCTGCTTCAGGGGAGTCACTTGCGTGGGGACAAGTGAAAACAATCTTAACATAAGCTTTAGGAGTAAAGAACATTGTATCAGGCTTGTGCCATAGTGTTGAATACGGCGACTTTCTTAAAAGAACTGGATATTTGGCCTGATAAAAAGTCAATCATATCAGAAGAAATTAAGTGCCGTGTTAACTTCCAGTTAAATTTTATCATTCAACCCAAAAGATCCATTAATCCTTACCTTTCTCCCTTCCACCAGAAACACAATATTTTCCTGAATTGTGATGAAATGCTACCTTTCCGTCATTCAGATTTCAGAAAAAATGAAAACCCCAAGTAGTTAAGACAGTTTCTGGAGAAAGACACTAAAAGGTCATGGAGACAACCCTTCTACTATTATAGAAATGATAAAGCACAAAAATTTCAAGCATTAAATGAACATTACTTCTTTAATAAGAAAAAGGAGCATCACTCCAGGACAGATCTTCCCAAAATCTAATGTTTAAACCAATAAAAAGAACCAAGCTAAACAAAGTCATGATATCCTTGGAAGATAGCCTGCTACCTTACCAACCCGTAAAGAACCCAAACTAAGTGATAGACTTACCTAACATTGTTTGGAGACAACTTGTTCAGCACCATTTGGATAATATCTGTACTGAAGTTAGAAGGCAAGGATGATCTCACTAGCCAATCTTTTGGGGGATATTTCTGTGTAAAGACACAAACATGTCATGTGAGTAAGAAGCAAGTCAAACAACTGAATAGAAGCACGGTTAAAAAAAAAGAAGCCAGAATACCTGCATATTTGGCGAAATGCTGACCACATAATTAATTGGCTGAATTTTGTCCTGATAATGAAACTTTGTCTCGCAAACAGCAGAAAGCTACAGTAAACCGATGGTATATCAGAGTCTCTAAGAAAGATCTGAAAGACAATTTCCATACCAAATTTTGAATATGAAAATTAACATAACTCAAAAATTTATTCCTCAATTCAAACCACAGTGTGATTAAAACTGTTTATATACAAAGAAAATCAAGAGAAAATGGTGATGAATCATATGTAAAGTCAGCCTCACAATTGTCATATTCATATATAAAGTCAGCATTGCATTCACATTCATCTTTCTATTTTTTGGTGATTAGTATTACATTATTTTTTTCAGGGACAATTTTTATTTAAATGTAAAAGAACAGGAAATAAAAAATATGAAGCTTTTTCCTCCAACTTTCCCCAGAAAATAGGCAAGGCTTGGCGAGAAAGTTGACTCATAGAAACAAAAACTAACAGAGTTATAATTTCCCTCTGTATTTTCCTGCCAATTGTTCAATGTAGTAAAACTCAAGAAAATAGCATAACTTTCTTTTCTTTTCTCATCTTTTGTTGTTCATTGTCTAAAGTGAGATAAATATAGGGTAATTTCCAACATATTAGAGACATTACTGCATGCTTCAAATGCATATTAAATCAAATTTATATTAAATGATTGATATAAGATCATACAAATACCTTTCATTGTCAGGGGTGTTTAGATGTTCCAAAAAAAGTGCATCTCATGGCATTATTCAAGAAATATAAGCATTCAACCTCTCTAATTGGAAGGATCGAAACCATCTGAAACTATCACTACTTTGAATGTCATAGGTCCGATATAGGAAATTGGCATGACAATATGTGGTCGAGCCATATAGGCTGTGTCAATGCATGATATACAAGAAATACAGGCATGATGTTAGCAGCTGGACTCCTATTGAGGGGTTCACACGGTTTTCCTTGTGGTAAGAGAACCAGAAAAAGTGGGCTAAGTACAATTCCCTCCATTATAACCATGAAATAAAAGGCTATCTATCACTGTCTAATATAGCAGCAGTAGAAGAATACAAAATATTTATACCTCATCGAAAATCCATTTGCAGATGCCCGACTGCTGTAAGAGGGAAATGTATTTGAAAAGCAAGCCTATGATGTCTTGCATGTGCTCTGCAATATAGTCAAAAGGTTTAACATATTCTAGAAAACTAAAATCCCAGTAAAAGAATGCCACCCTACAAAAAGAATATGTTAGATAAGTATTTCAAGCTGTCTTAGGACTTGTGAAAAATGTTCATCCAAAATGAAATGAAGCCTAAATGGGGGCAGGGGTTGGGAGAAATAAGAATACCTAAAAATGAAAAAAACAGAAGATAAACTAACCATGACCCGCGTCAGTGAGAACAATATCTACTCTAAAGAAAGAAAAGTCCAAACTCGAATCTCCTTCACCAGCAGACAAACCTGTTGCCCATCCTGCAATTTATTTTAGAACGAACAAAAAAGTGAAGTTAGCTTTTACCCAAGTAAATTAACTTCATGCATCCTATAATCAGGACAGAAGGTAACCATATCAACGAATTTTCATCTTTACGTGTCAATCTCTAAGTTCAAAATTTGGCCATATTCTTAGTGATGTCTTCCAGACCAAATCAGACATCAGACTCACATCTTCCTTAAAATGATGTCCTTTTTCCAGTACATGTTGAACCACAAGTACATCAACTAGCTGGGGCAACTTTAAGTTTCTGCCAAAATTGCTAGAACCTAATTCATCTCTCCTGTAAGTTTACTACACTATAATGTAATCTGAGGTACACAAATATTACATTCAAATTTGTACTAGATCCGATCATCTACTATAATAAGTATTCTTATGCACAAACATTTCTAGTATAGCTTATCAACTCTAACTTTCCTGGTAATCAGACTCCTCAATCTCTCTGTTTTAATGAGAACAGAGCCAGATTTAAAGATTTGAAGCATAACATTCTTGAGCTTTGTTCACTTTGAAGTTACATTTCACTTATTATGACAATTAATAAAATAAAAATTCAAAAAAAAAAAAATCGAAGAAGGATGACCACGTATACAAGAAAACAGGACGTCTATGGAGAACCTAAATCTTCAGTGCTAAGATCATGAAATGACTGATTAAATACTTCTGCATCCCATGCTTCTGTAGCCCATTGCATAACATGATGCTCCTTAACAAATTTCTGAGGAGATTAGTCCTTCGAGGAGTTCTGTATGTAGCAAAATCATATATGACAAGATAACATGGCACAATGAAATGAAACATTAAGGGCCCGTTTGATAACCATTTCAATTTTAGTTTTTAGTTTTCATTTTTTGTGCTAGAGTACAAATGAAAACGAGGGAGAATGGAAGTGAGAATAAGAGTGAAGATGGGATTGAGAGGAGGGAGGAAGGAGTAACAAAAGTGAAAACAAAAACTAAAAACTGAAATCAATTTGAAATTGTTTTCACTTTCAAGTTTTTGTTTTCACTTTTGTTATTCTTCCCTCCCATCCTCTCTCTCAATCTCATCCTCACTCTCATTCCCACTCTCATTTTCCTCTATACTCTACTATAAAAAATGAAAAATGAAAACTAAAAACTAAAATTGAAATGGTTATCAAACATGCCCTAAGTGTTTCGATCTAGCATTATCTGATTGGGTCAGTAATAGGTTGACATGATAATGACACATTTATTAACTGGTCAGGTGAGCGTCCATTCGTTTAACACGATAGTGCCATGTTATCTTTAGGAAACATACTTTTTTTTTTTCTTCTGAAAAATATTTTAACCTATAAATTCGATATTATTTATAACTTTTTACATTTTTTTGACCCAAAAGAAAAGGATAACAGAGAAAATGGATAAACACAACACATCATGCTAAATTTGCGAATGGGTTTGAGTTTGTTAATTTGGACGCAATAAGTTAACTACTCGGACTTGGGTTTAGGATCACTTCACACAAAATGAACATGGTAAAACACAATAAGTTGCCAGGGCTAACTATATGTATCATCTAAACAATATTAGGGGGTAGAGAGAGAGACAGAGAGAGACAGAGAGAGACAGACAGACAGACAGACAGACAGACAGACAGACAGACAGACAGACAGACAGACAGACAGACAGACAGACAGACAGACAGACAGACAGACAGACAGACAGACAGACAGACAGACAGACAGACAGACAGACAGACAGACAGACAGACAGACAGACAGACAGACAGACAGACAGACAGACAGACAGACAGACAGACAGACAGACAGACAGACAGACAGACAGACAGACAGACAGACAGACAGACAGACAGACAGACAGACAGACAGACAGACAGACAGACAGACAGACAGACAGACAGACAGACAGACAGACAGACAGACAGACAGACAGACAGACAGACAGACAGACAGACAGACAGACAGACAGACAGACAGACAGACAGACAGACAGACAGACAGACAGACAGACAGACAGACAGACAGACAGACAGACAGACAGACAGACAGACAGACAGACAGACAGACAGACAGACAGACAGACAGACAGACAGACAGACAGACAGACAGACAGACAGACAGACAGACAGACAGACAGACAGAGCCCAGACCACTTAAAAGAATCTGAGAAACAGATTAAGGAGAGGTTTTGAAGGACATGAGTGAACAAAAAGAAAAAAGGAACACTCAGTACAAACGAGTCAAATTCTGTGTGCATGCACACATATTCACCAAATGATGCAAAAATGAGGTCAAAGGACAAGTAAAATTCTGTAGAAACCAACTAAGCGCGTGCCATGAAACTTATTTTCTTTATAAGTTCAGGTCAATTCTACAGATAAAGTTTGAGTTACAAGGGGATCTGCATCTTAATAAATAATAGATCCTTTTATATATGTAAATCAAGATGCAAGCTGTTTATGTAGGATAAGAAGGAAACATTCTACGTGCACATAAATTGCATGATAATTATACATTATAGATAAGGCTCGAGTACAATGTCAATCTTCACATTTGAAATAAAAACAAGTTATAGGGCAATGCTAATTCCACTCCCAGTTTGTCATACTGTACTCTTTCTGCGAGGATTATAAAAAAAAAATAAAACATTGAGTTTGAAATGTAGGATGGCAAACTGGGGGTGTGAAAAGCAACTGCCAGCCTGCCAAAGTGCAAATCATCTAAACACAAAGAGGAAGTCTATGGAGGCATTGAAATGAAAATTATGAGAACACTGGCTTCAAAGTTCCAATACAAATAACATCTGCTGGAAAACTCATTATGTGAAGCAGGAAACAGATAGTGCAAATCTCACCCAAAGTTTTCAAGATGGAATACAAAGATCCTTCTCCTTCGTGGCCAATGAGATGACTGAGATACCTACATGGCCCTTCCTTGTAGTGGTGAATTTCTGGAGTTATTGGCCACACAACTCTCAGTGCATGACCCTCTTTGATTGGGACAGCTCTGACAAGAATCTGACAAAAACACAGAAGGGAAAGGCAGCAAGAATTATCCATCTAAATATAGGACCTTCTGTATGTTTTTTTTCCTAATCAGCAAAATCTGCAAGTCCGAAAGAAAGTTCCTCTTTGATTGGGACAGCTCTGACAAGAATCTGACAAAAACACAGAAGGGAAAGGCAGCAAGAATTATCCATCTAAATATACGACCTTCTGTATGTTTTTTTTCCTAATCAGCAAAATCTGCAAGTCCGAAAGAAAGTAACTCGGCATAAAAATTTCATCAGAACCATGTGTACCTGTAAATGTTCTGATGTGCAAGGCTCACCAGCAAAACGAAGGCAGTTGCGGTCAATGTTTCTAATTTCCTTAAACTTGTCCTCTACAAGGCCTTGAATTTTATCAAGGTTTTCTGAAAACATCCATAGTGATAATTATTTAATTTACCACAAGGCCATTGAACCTGATTGTTAAATATAAATGTAGCTACAAACCTTTTCCGTATATGACAAGATGCATGACGTTAGCGGAATAATATTCTTCATAGAATTTAATAAGCTCACTTCTGGTATCCAGTCCTTTCGCTTTCGGTCGAACCTCCAAAGTATCCCAATTCCCTGCAAGAGTGAACAAAGTAGGCACAATGGAAAAACATGGTAGACATTCTGAACACCAACCAGAGTATAGACAGTGGCATTCTTGTAAGAATAGTCTGTATAAAATTTCCATCCCAAAAAGCAGGAAAAGAAATTGAAAATCAGCAGCTGCCATTTAAAAGAAACAAATCTCAAAGAGATAGGTCACTTATTTCTTCCTATTTTAACTCATAGAGTAGCTCTCCAGGGAGCCTAAATAGCTCAAACTGTCCTAAATATGAGTGATTGGAGGCAGTTTATAATAAGAGGACTGTTTGGGCACATGAACCTCATAATTTTTTCACTTATCAGGATAATGAAATTTGTGATATGAAATTTGCAATAATTTTTTACCATCCCATATTCATTATAGGATTTTCCAAGTTGTTAATCTATGATTATACTATTACAACTGAGTTACTAAGGTGAAGCTTGATATTAAACTCAACATCAACATTGGATATGACTGAAATACCATGAAATAAGTAATATACTAAAAAAAACGAGTGATAGTCTCCACATCATCACTAGGAAGCAAGGGCAATGGATCACTTCTTGTTGCACTGTCCAGTGGCTTATTTTTTGCGGTTTCAGTTACGAGAGAGGTTTATGCTGGTACATCCCAGTGTCGCGTAATGCGGTATTATGTGAGAAGTTTAACTCTTTTGGTGGAAAGAAAGGGGGTGTAGTTCTGGGGAGAAGTTCTAGTGCCAATTTTCTGGGTTCTATGGGTTGAAAGGAACATAAGGTTTTTGACAGTGAAGAGGTGCAGTGATTATGGGATAGGATGCATTTTTGGACGTCTTTTGGGGCATCTGTAGCTTCAGAGTTGAGTCCATAGGAAGCACTGCATATTCACATCGTCCCAATATTCCTCTCCCCCAAATACTCCACTCCAAACAACAAGGGACTAATCCCCAAGCCACAACAATCCTCTCAACCAGAAACCATACGCCCAACATACCATCAGTTACAGAGAAATATTTGCAGGACCTAAAAACACCTTATAGTAGTTGCTTTTAAACAAAAGAACAGGCTTAATTTCTGATGCAATACATAACGCAAAGCACTGAAATAAGGAACCATTGCTCCCTTGTTGAAGAATAAATTTTTCAAGGTAACTACTGGCACCAAGAACCCTTCATATAATTAAAGAAAATATACCCAATACAAACCTCAGAGTACATATTACCAGTGAAATTCTAAACCTCTCAACTCTCAACACACTGACCAACTAAGCATTTAAAACGTTAGTCAAACTTCAGCCTCCCCTCCGTTCTTCATACATCAGATAGACCATCCTGTCTTAAAACAGTTTCTCAATAGTGCAAATCTACAACCACTGGCATAAGAGAGTCCTTTTTAGAGACATCAACTCATCCCCATCAAACCTTGTTTCCCAAGTTAATGAATAAACACCGTTTCATTTAGCCATATGAGACTTAACTCCACCCATCCAACCGGATAAAGTTTGAATGCAAACAAAAACCAAGCATACAATTGCCTCCTATCAATACTTCATATTTATAAGGAAAAGATAACTAACGCCATAGCATAAGCAATTTTCCACCACACTAAATTAATTTCAATTCAGAAGGAGTGAAACAAGAAGAACCATTATGATTTACACATGGGTTACCATAACCAAAGACTAAATCCGATTAGCAACATAAAGCTCAGATGTAAAAATAGCCTGCTTCCTCTTTTTTATGAACATTGAGTCAAAGAATTTTTATTATAATCAAGAGTCAATTCCTGACCTGTACTAAATTTATGGTACGGATGGTCCGCCGCACTTAGATGTTTCTGAAGCTGTACATAGACATTCATGCATAAAAAAGGTTAGACACCAGTTGGAGACATAAATAAAAACACTGCTACAATATGTGAAAAGCAGCATGCTCTAATTCACTTCAAGAACATATCATATGCTTACAAGGAAATTACTAAGGAATCTATAAGAATAAGATAATTATCAGACTTTAGTTAAAAGAAACTTAAGGGTACTTGGTTAGCTACTTTGTTTCACAAACTCACTAAGACGCCCATGTCTACTATTTATGGGGAGAGAGAGAGAGAGAGAGAGAGAGAGAGAGATTGAGATTTAGGGTGTTTTTCTTATTCTTAAAGTTCAGTGCAGGACCTGACTCACAAGGGTTCTTCGTATGGGGGTTAAAGCTCATCATTCTTCTAATAAGTCTCACAAGGGTTCAACTATCAATAGATGCAAACAAACTTACATTAATTGAAACCTCAATGCATATAGATAATGTAAAAAACAATAGCAAAAAAAAAAAACTGATGTTTGGAAAGACAGTAGCTACACATGCATATGTATCTAAACTATGCACTACTCATATGATAATTGGACCATAATACCATAATAGTTCTTTGAACTCTTTCGAATATATACTTTTCTTTAACAAAACTAAATGCAGTCTGAATGTCAACAATAGCATTTCAAATTAGTAAGATTCAGCATTTGCAGTCATATAAAGACTATAATCCAGAGGCAAGTTCTACCTGATTCATCCTCCAGCCATCAGACAACAGGTTTTTCTGATTCTCTATAACGCCAAACGCACAGTAGAAGTTAACAGTAATTAAATTGACAACTTGAGTATAGAAAAAAATATCAGAACAGAGCTGCTACCAGAATCAACAGCTTTAATTTCCCTCATTGTAGCATCAGCTGACATCAATGGGTTAATAAAGAACTGAGCAAATCTGAACAATAAACCACACATCAACACAATGTTCAATTTTGAGAATTGTAATGATGAAAATAACAGCCAATAGAAGGAAAAGCAGCATCTACCTGTCCAGAGCCTCTTCAAAGGCATCAGCATTAATGTCAAAATAATAGTTGGTGTGCTCAGATGATGTATAAGCATTTGTTCTTCCTCCATGCTGTGCACCAAGAAAATAAACCAAATATAGGTTGAAGAAAAAAAGCATAAGTAAGCAATCATAGGGGCCCTTATCAAGAGAATATGTTAAACATTATCTTTGTTATTCTGTATTTCCACCACACCACCAAAACATTTTATAATAAACCTGACCCCGACAAAGGGCCACTCTCGAATTAGAGAGTCCCTGGGGGACAGGTTGGCAAAAAAGCATTGGAACAAAACATATCTTACGGAATTTGGACAGATATACAAAAGAACAGGGGAAGGGCTAGCTAGTCCATCCAAAACTCCTATTTGATTCATCAAACATCAATAAATGGTATAATAATGGGAAGTGTGGCCCATAAATGAGATTGGATTAAGGAAATGATGGCGCACAACACAATCACAATTCTATAAACCAATCGAAAAAGGAACAGTGGTCTCAGAATTTCCATTGTGATCTCAAAAAACATAAAACAGTAATAAGAACACCTGTCAGAAATCTCAAAGAAGATGCACATTAGAAATTATCTTCAAACAAAGTTTGACTGTATGCCAGTATGCTAGCAAGAATGTCTTAGTCTATGCTGTGTTATTTGCTTTTGTATCATTTTTAACTTCCACTACATTCAACAAAGTTTGACAATAAGTAACAGAAAGCGGAGGAGCATGGAAAAGAATAAAAATCCATTCATAATTTATTTGATTGAAAGCATTCAAAAGGACCCAGTGTAGCTGTGAAGTCTGGCAATAAGTACCTCGATGATGTACTTTGAGTAACTATCCTCCAAGGGGTACTTTTCACTAGCATAAAACAGCATATGCTCTGCAATAAAACACATGCAATATTCAGAAAAGAATGTCATGAAACATCTTATTCTTTTTCAACCCCATTCTCATGAAAGCTTACGAACAATAAGTCATGAAAATATATAATGAACTCATCTTCTAGTTCACCACTAAAAAAACCCCTCCAGTGATCAATTTAACCAACCCGATTTTTGTTTGACAATAAGAAATATTAACCTCTGTAAGCGTTACAGAGACTACCATGTACCATAGAAAGAACACGAACTGCTAACCCAAATGGCAACAGAATCAAACTGGAAGTGCTATTCTTTAGCATTGATTTTTAATGGAAATCCAATATCCAAATATATACCAAATATAGCATCCAATATCCATATACCAGAACAAGATAAAATAGTATTAAACATTAAAGAAATTAAAGTTACCAAGGAAATGGGCAAGGCCCTCCAGGCCATCAGGGTCGCTGAAAGCACCAACACTGACATCCATGGAAGCAGCACACTGAGAAACAGATAACTTAAACAAATAAATACAAATATATATATATACACACACAAGACCAAGATTGTGAATTTGTGAATAATAAACGTATTGAATTGAGAAATTAAAAATTAAGAGACAAAAGAGGCCACGAGAAATGAGTATCGGAGAGGCCGTTTGCCTTGTCAGTATCAGGATCGCTGATGAGGAGGACTTCAAGGGAGTTTGGGAGGACGATCCTCCTGTACTCCCTCTTGTCCGTACGGGCTTTCACTATTTCTTCGACCTCTTCCTTCCCAACTGCCATTTGAAATTTCCTTTCTTTTTTCTCTCTCTCTCTCTTTCTCTTCTACCAAACAAACACCGCGACAGAGAGACTCAGAGAAAGACTTTGGTAGTCTTGGTCTCTAGTTCTACGTCAAATAGCGAAAGTTCATGTTTTGGTGTACAAAGTGTGAGAGTTTCCCCATCCCTTCCCCAAAAGAAAACAAAAAGGGCTGATTCTATTTGAACCCATTAATCTTCTCTTTTGACCCCACACTAATTTTAGACATAAATAACATATTTTATCCTTAAAGACAAATTTTTTTTTAATAAAAATTAAATTTGCTCGCTAGACTCAACATACTTTCCTGCAACCTTAGAGCATGTCTAATGCAATGGCAATAAATGGTACTATTCACAAAATCTAACCTCTCAAATTTTTTGTAATTCTAGTGGTGGTGGAGGGGTTTGAGGCTAAGGGCTAAAATTCAAATTTTGTTATGTTAGTTTATTATATTTTATTTGTGACAAAAAATCAAAGCATAAGAAAAGCAACACAAAAAATTTATTTTTGGAAACAATTTTGAGCCATAAGTTGGAACAATAATTTTGAGCATAAAGGAAAAAAGACAAACACTTTTTTTTTCATTTTCATTTAATTTTTATAGTTACTAGGACAACATATATATGTGTCTGTGGTACACATGCTCAACTATATCATTTCTTAGACTATCATGAACATAATCAGACCTAATTTGTGCATAACGATCCATAAAGCCGCCAAAATTTTGTCTGTCTCTACCCACTAGCTCGAATTCTTCATCATTTGGTCCCTCATATATTCTTGCTATCCTTAGGTTCATTGGGTCAACTTCTTCTACATCTAAATCTTCTTCGTCTTCGGCACGCTCATCCTCCATAATCATGTTTTGCAGGATTACGCAAGCTATCATGATGGTAAAAAGGGTAGCCTTATTCCATATTTGAGCAGCCCCCGAATGATGACAAATCGAGCTTGCAATATACCAAAACATCATTCAACATCTTTACCGTATGCCTCTTTGTACTTGGAAAACATTTTTTTCCTCTCATTTTTGGGCTTTGGAAATGTTTTCACAAAAGTACCCCACTTTGGATAAATACTTCCGCCAAATAGTAGCCCATGTTGTAGTCGTGTTCGTTGACATTGTACACCACCTGAGGTGCTTGACCTGCCATGCGTTCATTGAACACCGGTGATTGTCCGAGCATGTTGATATCAATTTAGGACTCAAGAGTTTCAAAATAGGCATGCCAAACCGATGTGTCGAATGAGGCGACAACCTCTATAATTATGCTGGGGTTTTTTTATGACCGTTAAAAGCTCCAACCTATCCTATTGGGTCGTTTTTCCACTTCTAATGCATACAATCGATGGTACCTAACATACCTAGAAAATCTCGTTGCTCAACTTTATTCAAAAGCCTATGCAAGTCCGTCGATGTTAGAGAGCGAAGGTAGTCCGACATGTAGATTGCTTTAATTGCACTGCAAAATTGTGTCATAGACTCGATTGTTGTTTGGCCCCCCATTCTACATATCTCATCGCACTGATTCGCAGATGAGCCATAAGCAAGCATTCTAAGTGACACAGTACGCTTCTGATGGGGCGACAAACCAAGTTTGCCAAGGGCATCCGGCTTTTGTTGGAAGTCATTGTCATGACCAACAACATCATGAAGTATGCGGTTGAAGAGGTGAAGCATCATTATGTAACGCCTTCGAAACCAAGTGGATGAGTATACCGATCTTGGCACAAAATAATCCATCCTGAGCATCTTGTCATGGTCTTACCTATATCAGTTGATGTATTCTCGACCGTTTTGAGAACTTGGTTTGGTGGGCGGATTGGAAGAGGAGCTTTGAAATTCTTCCATGGTGCCAAGGATAAGAGCGTTTTCTGACATCTACTCTCATCATCTTCTTCACGATCCCAGCTCATCTTCTTGAACAATCTCTTCATTATGAAATGATAAAAAAAGATATCCAAGTGTTGGATTTGAAATATAGAGATAAGTTTATGTGAGAAAAAAATGAAGATGAAAGTCTATTTATTAAGGTTTGAATGTAGAAATATAAAAAGAATAAATAAGTAAAAAGGTTTGGAGTATATAAATTTTTTTTTTAAAAGGGAAATTTGCATCAATACCACCTGAACTTTTAGGCACGTGCGCCATTACCACATGAACTTTTAATTTTTATTTTTAACCACCTAAACTTTGTAAAGTATTGCAATTCACCATCTATGTTTAACTCCGTTAAAGTTTCCGTTATGTTTAAAGCATTTCTGTCAATTCACTATAACTAAAACAATTATAAAAAAACAGAATTAAAAAAGAAAAAAAGAAAAAAAAAAGGTTAACCTAACTACACTACACCTTCTCCTACCCCTAACCTTTTCCAACGCCAATTCTCCGCCCACCCTCATAGAATCCAAATAATCCAAACATACTTGTTCTTCCTCACCACATTAGCCGGATTGATCATAGAAATGAAGGCATAGGTCGTAGCGGAAGGCAAAAGCCTCCCCTGCTTCAGGGTCTATCTTTGGTGAGTCGTCATGCTCATGAAGAGCTTGCCATCAAAATCATGGTGTCCCGGAGTTTGGATAAACGTAGAGAATAAAGGAGATCAGATTCGCCAAGGGTATTAAGTTGATTGCCAAAGAAAGCCAAACTTGTGTTTTCAAGACCAATGCCATTAGCAGGATTGTATTGGCATGTCCCTGGTGTAGTGTAATTAGGTTACAATGCCATTAGCAGGATTGTATTGGCATGTCCCTGATGTAGTGTAATTAGGTTTATTTTTATTTTTATTTATGTTTTTTATAATTATTTTTAGTTATAGTGAATTAACGAAAATGCCTTAAACTTAACTGAAACTTTAACAAAGTTATACATAGGTGGTGGATTGCAACACTTTACAAAGTTCATGTGGTTAAAAATAAAAATTAAAAGTTTAGGTGGTAATGGCTCACATACCTAAAAATTCACATGGCATTTATGCAAATTTCCCTAACGGGTAAAAACAAGGCTCAACGGCTATAAAAAATAAAAAGAACCCAACAACTAGCTGTTGAAAAAGCAACTTTTGAAGCGCCACGTGGCAAATCCTCCTAAGTCAAAGCATTTCGAAAAGCAGCTTTTTCTGTGCCACTTTTTTTTTTTTTTCCCAAAAACTGACCATGAGGCCCACTCTTGCCCAGGCCAGACCCTTAACTTGCCTCAGGCCAAATTGGACTGGGCCAAACACATGTATTAGAAAGTGTGTTTTTTCATTTGAGGCCAGATCACTCCTATTAGACATGCTCTTAATTAGACTTATGGCCAAAAGTCACTTGGCACTTTCACCACATTTGATCTTGTAATTTCAATTCTATCAAATTTGACCATGTAGTTTTGTATTTGTAGCAATTTAAGGACAAGTTAGTTCACTTGGCACTTTCACCACATTTGATCTTGTAATTTCAATTCTATCAAATTTGACCATGTAGTTTTGAATTTGTAGCAATTTAAGGACAAGTTAGTATTCCCATCAATTTCTTTGATTGTGCAAGGCGCAATTGCATCAACCCACTAAATTTCTTCCCAAACAAAAAGTCAACTTTTAGACCATTAAATATTCCCGGAGTAAAATTGTCTTTTTTCTGAATAATTTAATATTTAATTATTAAATTAGGACCAGGTTGTTACAATACATGTAGGCATAAATGAATTGGTAGTTGTCATACGGTTTTGTTGTGTCCCTTGAAAGCTTTCTCAATAGTGGTTATCTTTCTATTTTATGTAACACCCACCAATACCACTCCCCAGTAGTGAGAGAAAGCGAGCAATAATAAATAGAAGAATTCAACACTAATTTTATATTGAACCTACGAATCTTGGACAATGACTTTGGTGTCTATAGATGAATGCACATTGATACAATCTATAAAAAAAAATTAAAAAAAAGAGTTATTAGTTCTATTAGTCCTTGAACTTTGACCGGATTTGCATTTTTATCCCTTAATTCGTTCCTGTAGTCCTTTTACTTCACTTCGTTAGGACAAATGGTCATGCCATCAATTTTGTTATATTTTCTGTTAAATGTAGGCAATGGCGGATCCACCATGGGGTCAATGGGGTCAGACGACCCCATGACAGCCTTGGAAATGGCTTAGAGGTTCTTGGTTTCTATTGGCAGCCATGGGAGATGACCCCATAGAGAAGAAGATGCAAGCTGCTAAAGAGGATAAATAGGAACTAAGAAGAAAGAGAGAGAAAGGGGGAGGAAGAAGAAGACTAAGAGGGAGAAGAAGATGCCGACATAATTTTTTTTTTAAAGGAAGATATTTGTTAGTTTTAAAATATTATTTTAATTCTGTTGAGTAAACCTATAAATACTAAAAGTATCCATGGTGGTTTTTGAATTGAAATGGACCTTAAGGTCAATGGTTCAATACTCACTGTGTTCCTTAATTTTTATTTTTATTTTTAATATTCAAGGTATTTTATTATTTGGGTTATTTTTGGGTGACTTTATTTATTATTTGGGTTGGTATTACTATTTTGATGAAATTTATGACTTATATAATACATATATGAGCTTGATTTATTGAATGATGTTTTTGTTAGTTGGAATAAGTTTGGTGTGTTTTTAAATTATTAGTTTTTGCATTGTTTCATTTTAAAAAGAAAATCGGAACTTTAACATTATGACCCTATAGAGTAAAAATCCTGGATCCGCCACTGAATGCAGGGGCAAAATGGTATTTTTGTATTAAATTGATTAAATTAAAAATTAAAAATTAAAATTAAACTCTCTATCGATTTCTACTCCCCTCCAAACTTGATTTTTCTTTCTCTTTTTTGTGTTGGTTTTTTATTTTATTTTATTCTATTTTATTGTTATTTTAAAGATATAATTATTTAATTATTTTTTTGGTTTTAATACAAAAATACCATTTTGCTCCTACATTTAACAAAAGGGAAATTCTATATGAACCCCATTATTTGCTCTTTGCACCCCATATTTTCTTTGAACCCCACTGAATTTTAATAAAATTTTAAATTACTCAATATACCCCATTTTTCTTCCTAAATTGCCCTCATAAACCTCATTCCCTAACAAATTGTGTAAACCCCATCCCATATCAAACACCACCCATTGAAAACCCCCTTCTCTTTCAGACACACCCCATCTCATATCAAAC